GAGACTGTGTAGCAATCTGAGGCGGAATTAATGCTCTCACTTCCCATCACCAACACACGCTGTGCTTCACTTCGGTTCGTGAGGCGAAACTGGTCTCTTACTCCGACCTGTACAGTAACGTTCATCGCTAACGATGAGACACAAACTACAAACAAGTTATCTCTGGATTTATTAAGTGGTCAGAAGGAAGCGAAACTCTGACTCTAATCAAACTTCAGCAGAGATCATCTAAGTTGCCATCAGGACAAAACTGACTGCTGATTAGGTGGTTGCGGGATATTTTTCGAATCACTGTTAGCGGTGCAGTAAGCTCACTCACCACTCAAATTAGAGTGACTTCATTTCAGCTATCTCCAATCAAAAATTTCTGTTCCATTTGGATTAGGGTAGCTAGCATTTTAACATTCAACAGTAACATGGTCAGTTTGGTTAGATGGAGATGGAAACATGTAATGATAGGTAGGCAGACCATGGTACACACAATTTGCCAGCGAATGGGTCCACTCTGCTCCTTTGGCCCGATAAACTGATAAACGGATGCATTGTTCACATTTAGGCCACTGGTGTCCACAGGAGATTCTGCCTATCCTTCCTTGCGGTAGCGCGATTTACAATAAAAACCTTTTAAAAATACTTGACTAACACAAAGACGATAGGCAGATAGGTAAAAAATCATGTAAACGCATATCTAGTTGAAAGGTAGAATGAGAAGAAGATAAATATTAGGTTATTTTCGTTCCAAGTAGATATAAAATCAGCGTTGAGGATTAATGCACCTTAAAGACAGATTTTAAAAAGGCTCAACTAGTGCATAAAAAATGCTTTATTCGCATTTGACAAAACAACAAAAAGTACGTAAACATTTGAACATGACGCCTATGATTTTTCGTTACTGCATTATTATTTTCCCTAAAAACAACTGAAATACAATTGCTTCTTTATTGCTGTTTTGTTTTTTTTTCTGTGGTTCTCTGAGTATATTTTTCATTGTTTGACTACACAAACAATTCATTTCCAAATAACTTTGCGCACTGGGCGAAGTTGTGCTTCGGTAAGCATGTTTTGAACGTGTAGTGTGCAGCAAGGATCTTTTTATCAAACTCGTTATGCAAAGGATGCAGGCGATTAACAAGAACTGATTGTGTTATTGGCCATCTCAATTTCACCTTGATAGTCTGCATATGGGGAATGGGGTGCTTCCCCGAGTCAAAAGTCGTGTTCTGTATTTGACGAAATGTCTGTGTTGAACGTGGGGAATAACGGGATGTGATCACTTGCCATGAATTTTCGTTAATTGCATTTGCCTCCCCTTTGCTAGAAGTGGAATCTGTTGGCAACTTTGCTAAATGTGTCGAAGGAGTCCGTTCTAACCTACGGTCTTCATTAGCTGGACTTGTCGGAGAACAGAATCGCCTGAATTTCGTAAAACCTTTGAAAAGGGAGAATGCAAAACGTCTGTCTATACCGGATAATTGCTGGTATGTCGTGTCAAATAACATTGATGCGTAGATATGGTTTTGAGTGATGGGAAAATGTGTAATCGACCTCCTTAATAGTGTATAAGACATTCACATACGAATGCTTGATTTGGCATCACCTCACTCACCGTCTTCATAGGTAACATGTGGGGCATCTTGGTGATAATTTTCTTAATCTTTAAAGACGGAAAGGTAATTTGTGGGGAATGAAGGAGGCTGTGAAAAGAGCCTGGTAACCTGTATCCTGATGCTCATTGGATCTCTAGCTAGGGCTTCCTCTACCATGAGTGCTCTGCGGTTAGTCGCTGAGACTACCCCCGTAACCGTTTGAGACTGGGCTTGTATTCATTTTCTACCCCTGGACAAGTATTCATAAACATCCTAGACAGTTCATAGTAATTTAAAAATGACAGCATTACTGTTCAACGCTTTATTTTAGACCCACTTTGTTGCCTTATGCTCCGTTGTTTTTCGCTGCTTACTGCATTTTATCTATGTCCCCTTATCGCCGTGCATAGCTGGTTAGAAAGTCTTGCAGATAATATTACTCGAAATTGAGAATGAGGGAGGCGATTCACTTTTTAGCTGTCCTCATAGTCAGCTCACTCGTTTATGCAGTTCTGCTTACAACTTGCAAAAGTGGTAATTATTTGTCAGGGTGAATATTGGCCTTCGAAAAGTATTCTGAGCAGCATGTGTTAAGGGGTAATATTCTAACTGCAGTTTTTTTGGAGTTACTCCTAGCCTAGCGTAGTTTTATCGACAGAGGAGGGAATTGATGAGGATACTAAAGGTGCTAAACTCCTTACTGTTCCCCACGACTCGTGTATGATGAGGAAATTGAGTCGGTTTTCCCCATTTGCGTCGTGTTTTAGGCACAGGTGGGATTACTCATATGGTTAATCTGGGTCCCTTCATGATGTTCGTACTCACCAACCGCTC